CTTTCTTACCTTAACCTTTCTCCAGGTATCCCAAGTACACCAAGCACATACATATATACATATCACAATACCCAACTTAGGAACTTACTGTGTGTATGTGTAGGTGGGTGGTATGTGTGTAAATTAGTGAATACACACATATATATTTATAGATATAGATATTGTGTGTATGTGTGGTATATGAATTAGTAATCCGTATATGTGTATTGAATGTGCAGGTGTTGGTAACTGGTAACTGATTCTGTCTAAATTTGGTGTGTGTAGTATGTGTGAACCTAGACTAATTATTTTGAACATATATGCCTGAGCTGGTAGTGTGAGTGTGTATGCATAATAGGGGTGTATGCACCTAGTGAGTGTGTGCTTAATTGATTTTTATGTGTGCATGTACAGTTATACACCACGCCCTCCTGTCTAACAGCGCAATATTGAGATCCTGAGCGTTGGCCTGACCCCTCAGGGCAACAAAGGCATCCTTGAGAAACATGCCAACTCTTAGTTTTCGCTCATTTTTTACTATGAAACAATAATAAAGACATTTTTCTAATGCAAAGAACACAGAAAGAACGTGAAAGTTTCAGTTGTCTTTAATGCTATGGATTCTTATTTGAAATATTTGGGTTTATCCTGTAAATCACATTTGCGCACCTAACAGTGCTAACATTATGTGATACCCTGCAGCACCCCTGAAAGAATCTCAAGGCACAGCAGGGTGTTGAGGCAGCCTGGCTGAGAATCACTGACATATACCCACAAGCAGAAGCAATTTTATCAATTTTGCAAATGCATACAGGGCCTACAAGGACGTGGCGTAGAAACAGCATGAATACTCACCATTAGAAACATGGAAAGTTAGAAGTAAGTGCAGAAGAACACAAAAATGCCATTTCAGATGTACAAGGTGTCACAGCCCCAGTGAAGCTCCCCATCACGCTGCTGCATTTGGACCCCATACATCCAGCCCATATGTTTTAAGTCTCCCATCATCTGAGTAGGCTGCAGCACTACTCTGTCCTTGCCTTTTCTGGCACACTTCCTGGACTCTGTTACTCTGCCTTCACAGAAATGCAGTTTCAATGTCAGTTGCCCTAGGCCCTCAGGCTGAGCCACAAGACTTCCCAGTAGCTCAGGCACAATCTTTCCCAGAACTCTGTCCTTGTGGATGCTCTGATTGCATAATTCACTGCTTTGGGCACTCTACAAACAGAGAGGCCTTGAAGCATTTAAGAGCAAGCACAGTGCCTTGAATTTGGTTGGTACTGCTACCACTGCAGGCCTAGTTGGGAGCACCTCATGTATCACATGACCAGGTTAGCAAAAGCTTCATGCAGCTGCCAGAGGTGCCTAGAGGCAGCCCTGCTCATTTCTACAATGAACTCCTTGCTGACCTATTTACGTATTTCTGTTTATCAGTTGATACCTGATTTTTCTGTAGTCAGTTGGACATTAAGGAGATTCCTCTTTCCTTGGCTTTTGCAATCATTCATGTTATCAGATGGGTCAGAAGGAGGTGGACTCAGATTCTTTTGTTACTATTAAGAGTACTATAGGGCTTTGTTTTCCACAGACTCCTTGGTCCATTCTACTGTGTTGCTTCATGAAGTGAGTCCATAAGGGCACTTGTTGGCACTACCCATTATCAGAGGAAGCCAGCCAAGGTAGTTCTGTGTATTAGGATGTAAAGATGATGAATAAAAATAGTACAGACAAAGAAAGAAGAAATGAAGTCTACAGAGTAATGATTCTCAAAGGGAGCATCTTATCCTTCCTACAAGCAGTAGCAATACTACACATCTATATAGCCTCCATTTTCCAGAAAGATCCCAAAACAATTTACAGACTAAGTGCAAGAGTTCCTTCACTCCACTCATTGAAATGCAGCCATTTCTAAAGTGGAGGAGGACAGCAATGCATAGCAACTCCATAAACAGTATCTGCAGAATAATACACAGAACCCCATTGACAGAGTAGGTGAATTTCAGATAGGACAACAATAATTACTCACTTTGGAGCTTCAGGTCTGTTGGCTCCACTATTTTTACAGGAAGACAGTTTACATTTGCTTTATGCTCTTTCAGGCAACCTCAGCACCTGTATATGGAGGGTGAATAGGGAATCAATTTTAGCCCAGTCTTAAAGAGATCCATTAATTAACTTGTGGGGAGGGAAAAAGCAGTAGGGAGGGATAAAGAACAATGTGGGGAAGAATCTAGGAGGAAGAGAGAAAATATTAAAAGGAAAATGAGAGGAGGAGAAAGAGCAGATCCCCAAAAGAAAAGATCTTGAACAGTGAAAAAAAAAAAAATTTTTAAAACCAGCCAGTTTAACACAGATAAAACAGTATGGAAAAATATGTTTGTCCCCAGATCCGGAATGAGATGAACCAGCAGAAGCCCATTGTGTTCCTGTGAGCTGCAGGACCCCCAAGAGGACCCTGGCGGATCCCAACCCCAACCCCCAGCGCAGCCGGGAGGTAGGTGGGGCCTGTGCTTGGAGGAAAGAAGCACAGCTGTGGGCATCTGAGAGGAGCTGAGGAGGGTC